CATGGCATCCTGGTTTCTCCTTCCAAGGCTTCACACAGGGTCAGCTACCTGAGACGTTCACAAGAAACTTCTCATTCACCAAATGATTCTTGTTAAGGCTCAGGATGGGCCTAAGAGTTCTTAATAGAAACGAGTGGGTGCAGAACAGATGTACTTTGCAGAGTGTCTTTTCAGTTAACTTATTTTCACAGTTCTGGAGAATTTGTAAAGTGTTTTTTTTTTTAATGACTCTCTTCCATTTTCTCCCCAGAATAATGACTTTTTACTCTTAAACACTAAATAATATGTTGTAGTTTTAATATTTACAGTTGAGGCAAAGATGCATTCAGTAATTTCCCTGGCACAATGGTTTCTATTCCAAGAATAGCAAATAAAAGAATTTTGAGTTGCAGTTCAGTGTGGGTGTACATTTTGCTTTGTGTCTATGTGCCATGCAGTTAGAGTGAAGAGGTAATATCTTTTACTTCTCACCAGTAAACTTTTTCTGTAAGGAACCAGAGAGTAAATATTCCAAACTTTGCAGGCCAAAGTGTCTGTGTTGCAAAACTACTTAACTTTGCCCTTGTAGACAATCTGTAAATTGAGTGGGTATGATTTTTTTCCCAATAAAACTTTATTTACAGATGAGTGTAGTGCTGGACACCTGTAATCCCAGCCCTCTGGGAGGCTAAGGCAGGAGGATCGAAAGTTTGAGCCCAACCTGGGCAATTTAGATGCTGTCTCAAAATTAAAAAAAAAAAATTAAAAAAGGCTGGGGATATAGCCCAGTATTGTAAAGGCCCTGGGTTCATCCCCAGTACTGAAAAGCAAAGACAGAAGAGAAACAAAATCAACAACATAAAACTGTCAGGAGCTATTCTACATAATTTTGGGGAAAATCATTTTACAATTAAATTATGATTAGGACTAGTCTTGCCTACAAGCTGGCTATGACGCGCCGAAACATAACTCCATTTTTGCCTCTGGTCACAGCTGAGACCTCAGTGGTCCCAAGATGCTTGACACTCAAGGGCAAGATTATAGCAGCTAGAGACACCCTGGTTCCTTGAGAACAGAGTAGTAAGAGAAACATTTCATCTGGGGAGGAACAAATCCCTTGTCAGTTTAACTCATCCCACCTACTGTTGTAAGAATGTCTGCTCATTTTATTGTCCTAATCAATTTAAACTCCTCATCGTAAGATCTTCATCAGCATAAAATCCTCATAGTCAAAGGATTACCACCACCCTAGACATCTGACATTTCCTCCGATTAAAAGATCCTTGTCAATTTGGGATTATCACTGTCCTCTGAGTCAACTGTTACCCCTTTATGAACCGGATGAATAGTGGCAAGCTTGGGGTGCCTTCGTCTTTGCTGCCCAGAGCAGCATTGATCAGGCCCAGAACCCAGCCTCCTCCCAGAACCCTCATTTCCTGTCTTAATTTTTAAATTCGCCTTGTGCTGTCATGGCTCACAGGAGACCAGGACCCACTGCAGGGGTTCTGGTAACGTCTCCTTTCCCTGTTCCCTACATAAAACTATTTACAAAAGCTGGGCATGGTGGTACATACTTATAATCTCAGCTACTTAGGAAGCTAAAGAGAGAGGATCATGAGTTTAAGACCCTGTCTCACAAAACAAAACAAAAAACACATACACAATGCTTTATTTGTAAAAACAGGTGGTGGGCCACATTTCGTCCAAAGGTGCCCTCTTTCGAAACTCTGCTTTAGTCTTTTGTGGGCCCTTATTATTTCTCTGTGCCTTGAAACTCTTTATTTTGCCCTAAAGGGTTTTTCTGAGCTACTTATTTTTAAGTGCAGTTTATTTTGAGTGCAAGATAATCACCATTTCCCAAAAGGTTGAAAAATTAATGCAGAAAATGGCACCAAATGAACGTTATAATGAATGATTCATCCACACCCTTTCCTCTATCAATCCCTCCCACTCTCAGATCTTCCTTTATTTTTTTGGTGAGTTAAAGAATCCTTCATTACATTATATAAACAAACTATTTTTACACATTGAAAATGTTTATTTTTATGGATTTGTTTTCATTGTTCAAGTAATACATTTTCTATGCATATCTTAGTTTGGAATGGAATGCATCATAGTTTTCCTATTGTAATTACTGGAAGTCTTTTTTGGTTTAAAAGCTTTTCACTCAGCAATGGAATGTTCAAGCATGAATTCCTGCCAGCCAGTGATGGATAGGTATAACTAATTCAGGGGAAGCCCCAAACTGCCTTCTCTTTTGGGGCAGTGGTCAGTCCAAGGCAACTCACAGCCACCATTCCATGTCAGCGAGGACCCTGAAAGTTGGGAGATTTGGAGAAGGAAATAGGGAAGGAGTGGGCCCTGGCATTGTGTGTGGGTGGCTGTCCCCTCCCTTGTGTACAGGAAGCTTTGTTAAGCTGTTGACATGCAGTGTATGGCAATGATCCCACTTCCCCATCTTTCTGTGTCTGGTTTTCTCATGCCACCCGAGGCCATTCCTTGGTTTCAGTGTCCTCATTCATAAAACAGTTAAAATGCTTTTGATATCAAATATTTAGTTTTACCACAAAGTTAAAAAAAAAAGTGTCATGCCCATGTAGAATGTCATTATCAGTTGAGAATTGTGACCTCAAAGGCACTGGTGTCCTTTGTTTGTTTGTTTTAATAAATTTTATTTTATCCTTCCCCCCCTCAAGCCCCCTCCCCTCCCTATTACAAAAGCTTTGTTTGTTTTTTGAGACAGAATTTTGCTATACAGTTCAGGCTGGCCTTGAGCACACTGTGTAGCCTAGGGTGGCCTCGAACTTGTGATCCTCCTGGCTCAGCTTCCTAAGTGATGGGGCCATAGGTGTGAGCCCCTATGCCTAGCAGGCATCTGTCTCTGAGGTTCCTAAGCTGCTTTTTTAATATCATTTTTGTTTTTTGTTTTTGGTACCGGGGATCAAACTTGGGACCTTGCGCTTGTAAGGGAGGCAGTGGAACCGCTGCACTAAATCCCTGGCCCTAAGCTGCTTTTTTTAAAAAGACAGGGTCTTGCTATATAGTCCAGACTGGCCTTGAACTCACTATGGAGCCGAGGCTTGCCTCAGACTGATGGCAGTCCTTCTGCCTCAGCCTCCCGAGTGCTAGGATTACAGATGTGTGCCACCACGCTGGGCTTTTTCCTAAGCTGTTTTTTTTTTCCGGCTATCTTTTATGTGTACCTTCTCAGGAGAGCCCAAATGCTGTTTCCCTCCCCCACCAGCCTGTCCAACTCCACACGCATCACCTCTGCTGGCTCCACTGCACTCAGCAAGGATGAGAGCAACTGGGATTCTCCCTGCAGGGGCTGCAGGTGATGCAAAGGTCCTGGGGCCTTCACCCCACGGGAGCCAGGTGTGTGCTGGGACACAGGTGCCACCAGCAGGACCCCTCCCTAAGCTGCTTTATAAGAACAACTGGCTATGGCCTCCTGGGATGATTTCATTGTTCTTATTTCCCTCTTCAGTGTGGTGGGCCAGAAACTGTTGTTATTGTGACTGTGGTACTGAATGTGACAGACATGGACCTTGACCTCATGGAGCTCACAATCTAAGATGTATTATCCGGTCACGGCCAAACACTCCTGGGGGAATCCCATGCTAAGGGCCAAAGCCCTGCTAGGATGTGTTATTGATTAACAACAGCAAAGTAACAACAGCCAGTGAATGCAGAAGAGTTACAACATATTATGATGTCATAACTCAGACAAAGTCTTATGCTTTTCTGACTGAGATGACATGAAATAAGCAGAAAGTAGGATGGAATATGTTACAAAAGAATCCCCACAAATTGGGAGACTCTCATGCTATGGGCTTCAGGATGACCACAGCCTGCTAGAAAGAATGCGTGGTTGTGTTACACTGAGTTCATCAGCACTTGCTGAGTCCTGGTGCAACTCCCAAAGCCATGTGCACAGGTTTTGTTCTCCTGCTTTCTAGATGTAGCTGAACCATCCACCCTTACTCCTACAACCTGTAACCTCCAGAAAAACAGGAACAGGGAGGTAGTAATTGTGAATTAATGGTATCTATATCATTAGGTAATAAAATCTTTATCATTTCAGTAACCTTGGAGTATCAGCTGCCCTCCCCATGAGGAAAGCAGATTTTTGTAACTGAAATTGTTATGACCAAAGAAATCAAAGACTCAGTTATTAATCAGTCTTTCCTATGAAACTAAATGCCTTTGAATTCATCCTGAAGAATCTGCTGAAATAGCTACTTTCTAGAGATGCAAAAACCTACTATCCAGTGGCTGCCTCAGGGGAACGAGAGGACAAAATACACGGGTGCTGTTTCCACCAAAACACGCAGGGAAAAATCCTTCACCATATCTTTTGTGGTTGCTAATAAGCTTAATTCGTATACTTAACTGTCTCTTGTACAATTTTTAGCACCACAAAGAGGAAGTGCTTTTTCTTCTTTAAAAAAGTTCAATCCAAACCATCAGCCTCTGTAGGTTGTCTTAATTGCTACTTTGCACTGCACTGGACTGTGACTCTGAGTTTTGGCACATGCTATCATACACAAAGTTCCTAAAATAAAATGCTCTAGGATATCCTAGGAGCTGTTAGAAGGCTTTAAAAAGGGACTCACACACTGAAAAAATATCTTTGATGGAGACATTTCAGGCAAGCAACATGATTATTGCAGCAGAATTACATGATTAACTGAGATCTTGAAGTGGGTTGGGTGAGTCCTTGCCACCTAACTTATCATGGTTGGGGGGAGGTTGATGAGAATCCAGTTTTGATAAAGACAATTGTTTTCTCCTCCCCAAGTGACTATACATTTAAATAGCTAAAACATCTGTTCAGCAACATAGTAAAACATGTATACTCAGAACGCTTGAGAGAAGAGCCTGCCAAACAATCGGTTGAGAGGGACTTTGCTGAGGGAGAGCACCAAGATAAAGCAACCGCTGTTTGTTTTGTCTAGTCAGGGGAAAAGCCAAGGCAACCAATATTTTGAGTTTCTTTTATTTCATTTGTGAAGGATTATTTGAGAAAGGTGTCGAGGGGAAGTTTCCTGACAGGAATTTCTTAAGCTGTCCATTGGTAGGATAGCAAGAGAGCCTTGGATGTCAACACCTAACGAACTCTTGGGACCAGCTACCAAACCACGAAAAGTGACTTTCTTCCCAAGTGCTCTCTCCAGCCTTTCTGATGGAAGCAGAATTGGGGAGCAGCATGGAGACAGGAAAGGGGACCAACAGAGGCACTCGAATCGCCCTGGCTGTGTTCATTGGTGGCACCCTGGTGCTAGGCACGATCCTCTTTCTAGGTAAGTGGAGCATTAGAGACCAGGGGAACTGAATATGTGCTTAGATGTTTCCTTGTGCTTTATTCCAGCAAATCTTGTCATAATGCAGTTGTCCATATGGCTGTTTGCTTGTGTTTGTAGGTGGTGCATCCTCAGTTTCTGTCAAATATGCAAATGAGAAAGGCAGCTTTACTACCAAATGTATAATCCAGATGGCAAAGTAGGTATGAAGAAGTTTTGAGAGGCTCCTGGATCCAGTTGTACTGAGTAAAAAAATTTCATGTACCACATTTCACAAATTGAGTGCTTATGAATTCATAGGGAGAAACTTTCGTTTGTTTTATGAGGAAAGATTTTTACATAGCGATCAAAACCATGCCAGAATTTCCTTTCATTTGGCTTTTGTTGATGTTTGCCTGAATGAATCACAAAATTTAATTCACGAAGTACAAATCTGTCCTTTAAAATGCACTTTCAATGGTTTTCTTCAAGTCCTTTCTAATCCAGTGATTCTAATGGGATGCAATGCTAATTCTGCCTTCCTAATAGATTTAAAATTAATATGGAGGAAAACAGAGGTTTTTCTCCAAAATTTGAAAGGTATTGTGATTCAGTTCTTTTAATGACTCAAGGTGAGAATGATGTCCCCAGAGAGTCTATGTGATGATAAAAGTGTATTCCTATGAAAAAAGAATCAAATATCTTGGAAGGGGGTGAATGATGCCCTTAAATTTTAGGCATTTGGAACCCTTGATTATTACCCTTTTTCTCATACAGCCCATAATATTTCATTAGTTTGAAAGTTACTTAGGAACAAGCCTTTTGCTTAGGAGATTGTAGGTGCACTTTGAAATGCAGCAGGCCTGGAAAAATTTCTTGGCATATACAGGATGCAAGAGGCCATGTTTATTTTGGCAGGGACAAACCAGTAATTAAACTTTAAAAGAGTTGGGATTGTGTGGTTGAGAACTCTGCTAAAATGAGCAAACCATCTTTCCATGTTTTCTGTGGCTGAAGATTTAGGAAATGAGATGAGTGTATTGCTTTCTCGTGAAACTAAACCTCCTACTCCTGCAACTGAATTTGGGGCTCTTGAAAACTGTTGTGAGAGTTTTTGTTCAAATTTGGGGTTTAGAGACACGTCCCCTCCTGGAATGCAAAACTGGAGGAGAAACTCCATGGGCATGCCAAGGGACTACACACTATGTGGGACGTGACTACAAGGTTAGGTCTTGCAAGCACTTCCAGACTTAAAAATTCAAACAATAATCATACATATAAAAGTATGCACTCTTTTAAATGATGTTACCTCTTCTTGAAACTTTTTCCAAATTGCATGTTAATAATCATTACATTCTGAGGTCATAGCATATTAGCTAAAAGATTCTCCATGGCAGCAAACCTTTGTTCTTTGAGAGAAAATCATTCTTTGGCAATAGTGCTAAAATCTTTTATTTGCAGGGCTGGGGATTGAACCCAGGGCTTTGCACATGCTAGGCAAATGCTCTACCACTAAGCTACATCTCATCCCTGTATTACAGCTTAACTGGGCCTTGCTTCAGGAGACCACCTCCATTTGGATGCACTGTGCATGTAGGGACCCTTAATTTTGGTCAAATTTTTCAGCACTACTTCACACTAATCCCCTTCCCTACACTCTTCATTGCCTGTCCTTTAGGCCCTGGTACCCACTTGAAGTCTGCAGCTAGCAAAATATTTGTCTGAAAATCTCCAGGGATCTGCCAGGCAATGCTTTTTTATGACAGTATTGTAGTTAGGGTCATCTCTTTAAGGTGCTTTCTGGTTGTTTTTTGTGGCATGTTTTTCACCATAAAGTTCAAGTTCAATCATACTCCTGTAATTTCTAGCATCCTTCTTTGTCTCTTCTTTGGCTCTGAAGTTCTGGGATAATTTTTCTTCTAAACCTGAGTGTTTCTATAGTAAGAATGATTGTCAGTGGTTTCAAAGAACATAGAGCACTGGAATTGAAGAGTCAGATATGACTATATACCTATAACCAGTTTATATGCAAGTGTCTGTTCTCCTCTGTCCCTTCCCCTTCTGCCTCACAATCTGTTTCTCAGATGCAGTAGTCAGTGGACTATTTCTGTGAAGATCGTCTGATCTTAAATACTCTTGACACTGTAGTGGGCAATATTGTCTCTGCTGCAGTACTCAGCTCTGTGCTAGGACAAGAACAGCCACAGGCAATATGTACACAAATGGGCATGGTTGGGTTCCAGGAGGATTTGATTTCTGGACATTGAAATTTGAATTTCATGCGCTTTTTAGGCACTAAAAATGTCAAGGCAAGGGTGTTCACAGAAATAAACAGGCAGTGGGTTGATCTGGCCTGTGACCCCTTCTGTATGGTCATTTTCATACTCTTGACCTTGGAAGACTTCACTGTATTCTGAGGGCATTTGTACTCATTACAGAGAAATAAAAAGGAGAAATAGCTGTTAAAATTTTTAAGAGCTCCTAATCAGTAAAAAGCATCATTTAAATTTTTATCTTAAAATATTTTTTATTGTCTCTGTTTTATTCATTTATACCTTCACCTCGTTGGGACTTGTTGATCCTTATTTATTTTCAAGATCTTAAAATACCTCACACCCGTGGATAAAGTGTTCTTCCTTGAGGGGTTGAATTTGTCTCTGTCCCACTTAATTAAATTAACAATCATCCTTCTACTCCTTTCAGATAAAGATAACTGAGTTTTGCTTTGATTCCTTAGAGGGTTTGTGTCAAGAATTATTTTTTGTGAAAGGAGAGTTTAACTGTTTTCTTCACCTTTTTGTGTTTTTTTGTTAAAAAAATAAGACTAGTGCCAAGAAGGTAATGACCTTCTTGGTAATGTCCACAATAATAAAAATATCATCATTATGTATAAGAAAGTATGTATCTTTTTCTATTATAAAAATAGCACATGCTCACTTAAGAACATTTGACAAACATGCAAAAGTAGAGTGAAGGGGAAAACTCCCTCCATTGTTCTACCATTTAGGCATATTGGAATATTCTTAATCTTTATTCTGCTCATATATGTTTTACTTAACTTTTGAAAGAAATCAAAACACACTTATGGTAAGAAACTTCTTTGCTTAAAAATAGGCCTGAGATAGTCTGTAGGCAGTTTTCTTGAATCTATAATGCAACACAGGTAAAAAGGCTGAGGAAAGAACAAAGAAAAATCAGGCTACTTTTAGAATGTGGTGTGATAAATAATAAAACATGCCACACTGGCAGGTGACATGCCATCTCTAGCAGAAATAGAAATGCCGCCAAGCTTTCTGATTGTGTTTCTCTGTTGAGGGTGGCACTAAAGGCCTCCGTGCCTACTTACCCTCCATGGTTCATCTCCTCACGGCCACGGCCACATCTTGAAATGACTTCTTGTTTCTGGTCACAGAGAAGAGCAACGAGGAACTCTTCAAAACTTCCCCAGCTACCAAAGAAACTATTTCTAATAGTTTTGAAATCTTTAACATCTGTTAATGCCCAGGTGCTACCTAGAGTTCACAAATAGGGTATCCTTCTGCATTTCTGCAGAAGTCCATTTGGGTAATTTTGCTAGGCAGATGAGGAAACCAAGACATTGGTGAAAAGAAAAAGTTGTTTTGATTGTGCAGAGTTTGGTTTGTTTGTTGTTTGTTCTTTTTGGTGCTGAGGATCAAAACCAGGGCAAGACCTGGTTTTATTTGTGTGAGTGCGTGCGTGTGTGTGTGTGTGTGTGTGTGTGTGTAATGGGGGAGAAGTAGCTGGAATTTTGGTCCTCACGGCTACATATGTCTGGTAGCTAGGCTGGGCTTCAGGGGAGAAGGGTGTCTGGGACCCCAGGCAGGTAGACAATAACCGTTGCCAGATGATTGAGTTACACATAGTATATTTTTACCTCCTCCCTCTTTTGGTCCTATCTGTATGGAGTTTAGATAAGATCCAGAACTCTAAATACCACACACGCTAGCTTTCTCCTTCCACTTTGGATTTGCTCCAAATGACATAGTTTAAAAGCTTCGATTTTCCCATCTCTAAGAGGGTGACATAGTTATAGAGTGGAAACATGAGACTTACACCTCACATAATCAGAGATGGGAGACACTTGAGAGATCATCTAGCCCAGCATGTCAGCATCAACTGCAGGGTGATAAAACACAGATGGCCAGCTGAGGGTGTAACTCAGTGGCAGAGCCTGTTTAGCATTGGTAAAGTCCTGGGTTCAGTTTATTGCACCCCCCCCCACGCACACCACCACACACAGACATCTACAGATGGCTGCTTCTCCTCCCAAAGTTCTGAGTCAGAAGGTATGGAGTAAGGCTGAAAATGTGCATCTCTAACAAGCTCCCAGGTGCTGACCAGACTTCCAGCAGCCCTGGTTTATCTATACCCAGTTGTCTTATGAGAGAACTGAGTTTCAGAGCAACCAAGAGTCTTACCAAGTCCACTAGCCAACTGGGTTTTGAGGACTATGTCAATACCACAAAGATGAACTGATATCAAATGTCTTGCATATTTGTTTGATGATGGTTTACCCGGTGGTGGTCTACTACAAATTGGTCATTTATTTTTATCTGTTTTTTCAGTGAGTCAAGGTTTCTTAAGTTTCCAAGCTAAACAGGAGTACTGCCTGAAGCCAGAATGCGTCGAAGCCGGTAAGTCCGTTTTCCACCCTGTGTCAAGTTATAATTATGGTACCTTGGAGAGTGGAAGAGAAAACAGGTGGTATTTTTAGTATTCTGTTTGCTTGAGGTTTACCAAGTATGAAATGCAATTTGGAAGAAGTTTTAAGTCTACTTTCAAGTTTCAGTGTGAAGTAGTGGAGCTTAGGTTTCCTGTTTTATTTTTCCTTGCAAAAAACTGTATCTCTGTGCGATATTCCAGGCCTCCTGATAAGGAACTCAGAAAGGGGCTTGAAAGGTTGTATGGCCTCTCTGAAGACCCACTGGCAGAGACCATCGGCCTCCTAGGGCTCAGCTGGCTATTTATCTTACATGGTCTTTGTGTATCTTCTGGTGAGTTGGTCTGACCTGCTTGCCTCTAAGCTGGGATCCTTTGTGAGTTCATGGTCCCACTGCCTCCTGGAATTCCTTTGGGTCCTCCTCCTCCTCCTGGTCATTTCATTTCTATTCCACTTTTTAAGTCCATCTTCTCTTGAGGTGACCAGGCCATGTAAGAGTGGGTACACCAAAGTGAAATTTCACACTTGAAGTTGCCTCAGGTTTCTTACAGCTATTAGATCCTGCCCTCCCCCATAAATCAGTGTTGGGGCCTAGATTTACAGAGCTGGATTCTATCACCCATTCTCATTCAAGTAGCCAGGAACCCCAGTGCATTTTCCAAAGGGAGGATCATAGGCCAAGTTATACACATGAATTTAAGAGACCAATGAACAAATTCACCAAATATTTATGCACGCCAGGCGCTAGTTGGGTATTGGGGATGTATTAATATATCAAAGATAGGGGAAGAAAAACAATAAAATAACACACAAGGCAATCAATGCACAAGAAGAATATTAGCTAATGGTACATGTTATGCAGAAAACTAAAATATTAAAACAGAATAATGGGATAGGAAGCGACAGGATGGCTTGATTGAAAAGTCTGAAGACATGACCCTGAAGAGGACCTGGAATGATGAGAAGCAAGCTGCTGCGTGAAGACTGAAGCAAAGGCTTTCCAGGTGGGGTAGAAGTCCCATAATGGAACCAGCTTGAGGGATGGGTGGAACTTGCTGGGTAAAGGACACAGTGAACATGATGGAGGACAGTGGGTCACACATGTGCTGAAAATTTGGGTTTTTATTGAGTGTGATCAAGAGCCCCTGAAGGATTTTTTAAAAAAGTACATCTTATGAGTACTTAAAAGATCTTCCAGTGGAGAACTAGATTGTGGGAATCTTTCTGTGTGGAGAAGTAGTGGAGGGAGCAAGAGTGGAAGAAGGGTGCTGAGAGAGGCGGTTATTGCAGTAGACTGGATGAGAGAGAGCAGATGCTGCCTTGAATTCAAAAGATGGAGGATGCAGAAGGTTGAGGAGCTAGAGCCTTGCTGAAGTTCCTGAAGGATTTAATATGGGCTGTGAGAAAAAGCAGAGGCTCAAAGGTGACACTTCTATGTTGGGTGGTGGCATTATTGAGACGGAGAGACTTAGGTGAAAGAGCTTGTAAATTCTGAGGGCTTATTCAGTGGTAATGGATTAGGTTCTTATGTCATGAAAGTTTTTTTCCCATTCACAAGTGATCAATATATTTTTTAATCAAGCAATGTGTGGAGTGACTATCTCATAAAACCTCCATAAGTCTCTGTTCTCACCAGCCCTACAGATGAGGGAATTAGGCTACTAGAGGCTGAATAACTTGCCCGTGGTCACATTCTGAGTCAGGGGCAGAGCTGGGATTCAAGTCCATGATTGGCTCCCTACCATGTTTGTCTTGGTACCACGGTACCATGCTAAGTCCTTTGTTCTTTTTCCATAACACCACACTAACTAGAATCTAGTGACTGAACCATTTCAACTAAGTGATATCTGCAATGATGATTCTTTTTCTTCTGGAGTGATGTGAAAATTTGGAGGCCCTTCCCTTTTCCTTGATTTGGGGTGTTGACCTGGAGCCTTTTCCAGTGAGGAGAGGATGTGAGTGACCAGGTGGCACAATCAGAGACCAAGTTTTAAATTTCATGTCACCTAGTACCTTTGCGATGGTAGGATTCTTTTTTTTTGATGCCGGGGATTGAACTCGGGTCCTTGTGCTTGCAAGGCAGGTGGTAGAACCACTGAGCTAAATCCCCAGCCCTATGGTAGGATTCTTGTAGATAAAAGAAACTGAAATTTTTGAACTCATAAATCTTCAATTGTGTTTAGACAACTTTTTGTAAGGAAGGTTACTTATTTCATAAATTTTGTTTGTTAGAAGTCATAACAATGCCACAGTCAAACTTGTAAGTCTGTGGACTGATGTTTGATGATGTCACCTTCTGCCAGCCGGCATGTTTTGCCTTGATGTTTTCTTTTTAATCTTCACATTGATGAATGGCTTTCTAATGTTAAAATATACTGATTCTGCTGTTTCCATAGTGGAAGGCTTGCCAAGGACATAGTCCTCTTTAATGCAACATAAGCCTCAGTATGCCCAGGGGTCTGTGGAACAGCTGTTGAATACACATGGCAGGAGAATTCTGGCCAAACCAGGGCTTTACACAAGAGTGTCGGTGCAGCGGGGTGGGGTGGGGTGGGGTGCATAGGAACAGGTGTACTTGTGGGAATCTCAGGAGCTGGAAGTGTTTGATCACCTTCTATCCCATTTCTCCTCTTCATTATCCTTTCCTCCTCAGCTCCCTGTCCTTTTATGCTAATCTTGCTCTTGAAATGCAAGCTGCAGAAAGAATACAAGGAAAACAGAAAGTGACATGCTGATGATAGTGGATAAGGGTAGATGGGCTAACTTGGGTTTGAAGCAACATCTGGTTACTTATAAGCCACAGGACCCTGCACTAAATACATAACCATCCTAAGTTGCAGATTCACCATCTGTAAAATGGGAATAACAAGTTTTTAACTTATTAGTTGTAAGAATCAAAAAAATGATAATAATAATCCAAGTCCACAATGCCCAATACCAGAAAATATGGGAACTCTCAGTTGGCAGGCCAAATCTGATCTCAATTCCTTTGATGGCAAAACCAGATCTTGAGTGAGAGACTGTTAAACTTTATTGACCTCGCTTAGGATTATATGCATTTTTCTCCCCATAAAAATATGAATATTCTTGCTTCAGGGGTCCATTCCAGATATTGTTGAGGTAGTATATCATCTGTGCTTATATGTTGCTTCTTTTCTAAAATTGGAAAATCTATAAGCTCTGAAAATCTAGCCTCAGGGTTTCAGGTGTTTATGGAATTATAGTAGTAAATAGCATATAACAAATTTTTATATTCCCTGATTTAGCTAAATGCATACATATAGAACATTCAATTAAGTTTAAATTACAGATATACAGTGATAACAACCTCTTTTTGGTATAAATATATCTCGTGCAATATTTCATACATACTTTTATTCTACAAAGTAGTTTATCTTAAATTCTAATTTCACTGCACATCCTATATCTTATCTGTATTTATATAGCAACATGCTTTAGACTCTTGTAAGCACTTCACATATATTTACTCATTTAATTTTCATGGTGATCCTAATATGGTGTTATTATTATTGTTATCCCCATTGTATAGATGAAGAAACTAAGACACATAGAGGTTAAGCAAGCTGCCTAAGGTTATTTAGCTAAGTGGATGTTGTTGCTATCATTTCAAATCAAGTGGTCTGACTCTAAAGTTTGTGATCATGCTATATTGCATGAAGGGGCCTTTGCATAAAGTTCCTGGCACAGAGGAGATGCTTAATGTTCGTGATTCTATTTCTTATATAAATAATAAGGCTTAAGCCCTAATACGGTTTTCCCTTGAGCTCCGATTAAACCTAAAAACTCAGATTGGTATATGGAGGACGCTTCCAGCTGCTCCACATACACTAGCTGAAGACTGGCTAGCAGTTGACCTCATGTGCAATGACTGGAGAGAGCCCACAGCCTGAGCTTTCACAGGTCTCCCTCATCATCATATTTCTTTTATTAATACAAGACTTGCTTGGTTTTCTCCATGGAGCTGAGTAGGTGGAAAGGAGTTTTCATATCTTGACAGCCACGGTCCCCTTGCAATTTGAAGTCACAGTTCCCCTGCAGAAAGTGCAGCCCTGTGCCCAGCTGTGAATCGTGAATGATGAATTGTGAGGCAGAGGGAAGAGTTTTCTCACTCAGCAGGCTCCTTTCCAAATTCAGCATGAGTGACTTTGCAGCCCCTACTTTTGTATTAGGCCTGGGGTCAGAGCTGACCTTGCAGTTTTCCTAGGTACCTGCAAGAAAACTGAGGAGATGGAGAAGTTGGGAGCAGGGGAAGTTTGGGAAGGAAGCCAGAAAGCAGTGAGTTTATGTGAGTAACAATGTGCATAAGGGCTCCCTTGTGTGACTGTAAATACTGTGTGGGACTGAGATTTGTGTGATCCATGTCCCAGAGGTATCACATAGCAGATTTGTTCTGTGGCTGCACAGACTAACTATAAGTACAAACTGCAAGGAGGATTTTGTATGTCTTGGCAGGTTTGCGTATTAAATAGTAAGGAAAAAATGATAGCAATGAGCAAAAATGTAGAGACAACTGAATTAGTTCTAAAAAACCAAAACATTAAGTCAATTTGAAATTTATTAAACTTGTAAACCAAGTTTTTTGATAGTTGTTTATTTTAGGGAAAGGAGGTTGCAAAAAGTAGGGATTCTGAAGTCCTATAGAAATTCGGATGTTTGTATATTCACTTCAGTCAGGATAAAAAGCTCTTGGAAATTTTCACAAAAAGTCTAGGCTAGTGAAATAGCTAGCCTTCTTTTCAACCCTGGAAGAGCCACTCATGTAACCAAACTATAAGATGTATATCTAAATTTATGCAGATTTTACTTTTGGGGGGCCATTTATTCTTGTTTAGCTGAAAACTCATTGAGCTTTCATTACTTCAAACAGCAATATATTCTGGCATTAATTAAAGTATGAAAATTGCCCAGAAAATTGCCATGTCACCCTTCCAATGTCATTAAAATACTGGCTGTTTTTTTGTCATCAGTTGGTGTAGATCTTTTTGTTTTCTTTTTTTTTTCAGTTGGTATAGATCTTTGTGCCATAGTGGTAGACAGCAATTGTATGGCGATTGGGAGTTCAATATTAGGAATTTTGGAACATTCTCATTTTGTAATGAAATATTTTCTTTTAAAGCTCATGGATATATATTCATGTACAAATTTCCTACCCATGGTCTATCTTCCTTATATATTTGTGTATAGACTTATGAAAGAAGGAAAATGGTAGATCAGTGTGTTGTATCTTTCTGTGAATTCATATGAATACTCAATTCTGCCCCTACACCTGGAACCCTCATTTACAACACCACACTTTAGCCCTCCTCTGGCTATGCCTCTCCCACAGTCAAGGAATCTGTGGGGTGGAGTCTACAGCCCTATCCTGTAGCCCAGAATTCCCTGCCAAAGTTTCCAATCATGTCTCCTGTGAATGTCTTTTAAGGCTTCAGTCCTCTGAGAGCTGTACTAGATTTCAAAGGGCTCAAGAATCCATAACTGGCCTTCCAAGTTGTTATGAAGTCACACTGTAAATAGATCTTTAAAATATGTATGTAGATGACATGTGGGCCTCTTCTTCAGTTACTCTTTGCTGTGAAACAAACTACCCTACACCTTGAAGGTGAAACAAGAATGATGTAATATTTCCCCTGGTTCCATGGGTTTTACCAGATGGGTCTCTAGGCTTCTTTGTGCAGCTGCCTTCCTGTGGACAGTTGCTTGGGCTGGAAGGTCACAGTCTGGCAGTTAGTGTTGGCTTTGTTCTTTTCCATGTGGCCTCTTGTTCTCCAGGAGACTTCTTCAAAGGTTGGTCTTGCAGGGTCCATCTGAAGCGAGTTAACTTGGAAGGTGCAAGGCCTCTTAGGCCTAGCTTTGAAACTCACAAATAATCATTTCTGCTAATTTTGTTGGCCAAAGCAAGTGACAAAGTCAGCCCATATTCAAGGTAGAGGAAATGGACCCTAGTAGCAAAGTCACTTTGCAGAAAGATGTGGGATAAAAGAGTCACACTTATCTTTGCAAATATCTACCTCAATACTTCATTTGTATTCTTATCCCATAACTCACAGTTGTTAGGAGCGATCCTGAAAAATAATAACAATAACACCATCAAACTTTTACCCACTCATGCTGAACACACTCATTTCATATAGCATAGTTGATTCAGAGAGTCTTTTGAGAGGAAATGTAGAAGCGAAGGCTTGGGAACTGGTTGATATGAAATTGTTGTTAATTTGGAAAAGAATACCACACAGTGTTTAATGATTGTCATTAATCCTATGATTTTCTTTTTAAATAGCTGCTGCCATATTGAGTAAAGTGAATCTGTCTGTGGATCCTTGTGATAATTTCTTCCAGTTCGCTTGTGATGGATGGATAAACAGTAATCCAATTCCGGAAGATATGCCAAGCTATGGGGTTTACCCTTGGCTGAGACACAATGTTGACCTCAAGTTGAAGGGTGAGTGTCTATGGGAGTTTGGTGATGCACTTTACAGACACCAGTATTTGACAAGAAAAATATAGTTTGGAATTTAAAGTGTGACTACTCACTGTTTCACTGTACTAGATCCATTTCTAAGAATTTTTTTTTTGAATGGAAGATTGAAAGTGCAGAATTCCATTCTCCCAGATCTCAACCAAAGTAGGTTATGTTCATGTTTGATTTTGCAGTAGTTAAGTTCTACTGCCAAAGGTTAAATAGCATTTGATTAAGATTGGGAGCAAAGGAATAGTCAATGAAAATTATGTTGTATCAATAGACTTGTCTGTTGTTTTCAGGGTCAACTTCATTTCTTGCTTATTGTGTCCTGGATTTTCATGGCTTACAAAAATGTACTTAACACCTCATGGTCTTTTGACATCATTTTAGAGAACTCTGGATGACCTGTGGTTGTTGTATTGTTCCTGTTAGCATCTAAGCTGGCTCTAGGGAGACTCACTTTTCTCCCACGGCCTCCTGTAGCAGTGACAAGCTCACACTCACATACTCACATGTGTGTGTATACACACACACACACACACTCACATGTGCTCATGTTCTTGCCCGAAGAAGTTGGAAATCTCTGTTACTGGAACATATTATATTTGAATTGGATTTCATTTTTATGCTAAGTTTTGGAAAAAGCCACCTGAGGAGGGAAGTAGAAAGATTTCAAAGCCAGATAGGGTAATTGTTTTGAGAGAGTAAAAATAGTATGGCTTTTTCCCCCTCTTTTTGACAACTGTGAGTTATGCCATGTAACTTGCATTCAGTAACACCTACAAAGAATTTCTGAGAAGTGCTAAGAATTGTAAAATTTCCTTCTTTCGTCTCTCCATTTTTCAAAGATTGCAAGTATGTGAAAATGAAATGTATATCCATTTATATGTACAGTACTTAATAACACATGAAGCTATTTGCAAAATAATTAGTTGCCCATTGTCACTTGTAAGGAAAAATATAATTAAATTTCACAGCTGGGAATAAATTGCATGGACTTCTTATATTTTCTATTAGAAGGCTCAAAGTTAGTCTTGATAGCTTATAAATTAGAATCTGTGAGAATTTCAAGATATTCCTCTAACTTAACAGATGAGATTCTTGTCCTGCAGAATCATAAATAAGACCTTGAACAGTGAATTTTTAGACTAATATTTATTTTCCTCTAGGACACTGATTCATGTTGGTTCTTCATTTACCATTCTTGTCCATCTTCTGTTTTTCTTCTCTGGCTCTTCTTCCTTGATAGACAAATGTTCACACATAATCAGGCAAACAGGAATATCACATCACTGAAGGACAAGAAAAATACAAGATTTCCAGATAAATGCTCCCTTTTACATTAGTTATAACCAAAGGATTTATAACCTCGGACATGAAGTGATTACAATAATTTAAAAAACTTTCTGGGGATAGCTTAATTTTAAATTAAAATAAGTGTCGATGTGCTTTGTTTGAGGAAGATGCTGTATATGGGCTCTTTCACAATTCATAGAAATGAGAATAAATTGTTCAGAGTAGCACAGGGTTTTTTTGGGTTGTTTTCTGGTTTTATTTTAAAAATGAAAAAATTTATTTTCAAGCTCAGTTGGGAAAATAAAAGAGGAAAATGTGGAAGGAAAATTCCCCTATAAATCCACATTAAAAGAAAAAAAGAAAAAAAAATCCACATTTGGCTCAACGTGTGGCACATACCTGTTATCTCAACTCTCAGGGAGGCTGAGACAAGAAGATTGCCATGAGTTCGAGGCCGGCCTGGGCTACATAGTGAGTTCAAGGCCAACCTGCACTACATAGTGAGACCCTGTCTCAAAAAACAAAAACAAAACAAAACAAAACAAAAATCCACATTTGGAAATAATTTCTAATAAAGAAATTGGGTGTATATCTTTCCAGGTTTATTCCATGTATGGGGTTATATGCATAACCTCATATGCACACCCATATACAAGCCTGATCAAAAACTATACTGAATATTTAAATTTTAAAAAATTAGGGCTGAGGATTTAGCTCAGAAGCACAGTGCCTGCCTGGCAAGCGTGAGGTCCTGACTTCGATCCCTGGTATAAAAAAAAAATATTACAGAGCTGAGCGTAGTGGCACATGCCTGTAATCTCAACACTGGGGAAACTGAAGCAGAAAAATGGCTGCGAGTTTGAGGCCAGCCCTGGCTACATAGTGAATTCAAGGCCAGCCTGAACTGCAGAGAGAAATCCTGTCTCAGAAAACAAACACAAAAACCACCAAACAAAATTATTCCAGTGAAAGACACATTGCCTGTTATGGTTTATATTGAGATGTGCTTCCGAAACCTTGTGAGATCTTGGATGGGGTATGGGGAGGTGATTGGATTATGGGGCCTTATAGCTGACTTGCTCTTAGGAGGAAGGGTCTGGCCTAGAGAGGCGGGGTCCTGGGGGGCGGGGTCTGGAAGGATTTATCTCCCTTCCAGGCTCCTCCCTTCTCTCTGCTTCCTGTGTGACATATCATGAGCAGGTCTCCACCATGCTGCCCAGCCTTGGAGCCTGCCAACTGTGGACTGAAACCTCTACAAACTGTGAGCCAAAATAAACCTCTCCTCCTTTAACTTGTGGGTATCGCATATTGTGTCCCAGCAACTAGGAAAGTAACTAAGATGTTGGTATTAATTTACTTCAAAGTACTCCCCCTTTCTTTGGACACACTTATCCCATCTTTCTCGCTACTTCCTGAAGCAGTCCTGGAAGGCTTCTTTTTTTTGAGACTAGGTCTTGCTATGTAGTTCAGGCTGGCCTCAAACTTGTGACAGTCCTCCTGCCTCAGCCTCCTGAGTGCTGGGACTACAGTTGTGTGCCACCATGCCCGCTTGGAAGGCTTTTATGTGTGTCTTTAGTTGTACTCTGGTGCCTGCCTCCATGTCCTGAATTGATTCAAAACATTTGCCTTTCATGGTCATTTTGACACTGGGAAAGAGCCCGAAGTTGCATGGTGTCAGATCTGGTGAATAGGTGGGTGGGGACACACTGTGATGTGGTAGCAGCATTCACCATAGTTTTGAGTACATCTCATAAAGACACTCATTAAAGATGAACTGCTTCAGGAAGTGGCAAGAACAATGGGATAAGGGTGTTTGAAGCAAGGGGGAGTATTTGGAGGCAGATTAAAGGCAATGTGTCTTTTGCTGTAATAACTTTTAAAAGATTTAAACATTCACCCTCTATTTTGATCTCACCATATGTGTGGTGTCTGATAACTGTTCTTTATTGTTTCTAGTTTGCAAAATGTTTGTACTCAAGAAAAACTTCTCTTCACCATTTATCAGGGACTCAGATGGAGTATCTCTTAACTTCTTTAGATTTCCCCTTGCTGAACTAAGCTTCTAATTTTGAAATAAATCCTACCCAATAATGGTTTAGGATGCTGCTAGAATTAAACCAGCATTTTGTTTCATACATTTATATCTATGTTTATGATTCTTATTGGTCCATGGAGTTTTGTGTGCTAGGTTTGTCAAATTCTATTACCAAGACTGTGCTGGCCTTGTGACACAAAGTGGCAGGCTTAATGTATATTTCTATGCTCTGCGAAAGACACAACTCAAGAAATTCCAAGTAGTTTTGTGAAAAGCACTGTAAAGGACAGATTCACAAAGTGATTATAAGGCTCTTGGTTCAAGTGTTATGGAGAGCAGGCGGGTATAGTGACGCACACCTGAAATCTTAGCACTCTGGGAAGGTGAGACAGGAGGATTGCAAGTTCAAGCTCAGCCTGGGCAATTTAGTGACTCAGCAAAACCCTGTCTCAAAAAAAAAAATAAAATAAAATAAAAGGGCTAAAGTGTAGCTCAGTGCAATGGTCCTTGATTTAATTCCAAGTATCGGGAGAGAAAGGGTCTCTTTTTAAATTGGTATCATCGTCAGCTGGTCCCAGCACCTGGAGGGAAGCTCCCCACCTCCATCCCAGGCTCCTAGGGCAGAGAAGGTGAGTCGGTCCCAGCACCTGGAAGGAAGCTCCCCCACCGCCATCCCAAGCTCCTAGGGCAGAGAAGGTGAGCCGGTCCCAGCACCCAGAAGGAAGCTCCCCCACCGCCATCCCAAGCTCCTAGGGCAGAGAAGGTGAGCCGTGTGGGTGCCAGAAGCATCCCCCCCCGCCCGTGGAAATGAGAAAACACATAAACAAGCCTCAAAAACAGACTTCCAGATCACCTACAGCAACCCCAAAGGGAAAAGAGATGGAACAA